TTGGGCCCATGATACTGAAACCACATGGGCCCCATATACTGTTGCCCAGTACTATCCCATTCCCAGATAGCCCACTTAAAAAAGGACTGGGGCCCACATATCCACACCCAGGTCTAACCCATATATGGTCAGCCCATGCTGATGTCATGTGGGTTCAATGTGGTCAGCCCACATGGGCTTCCCATGTTGGGCCCATGATACTAGAACCACATGGGCCCCACATACTGTTGCCCAGTACTATCCCATTCCCAGATAGCCCACTTTAAAAAGGACTGGGGCCCACATATCCACAACCAGGTCTAACCCATATATGGTCAGCCCATGCTGATGTCATGTGGGTTCAATGTGGTCAGCCCACATGGGCTTCCCATGTTGGGCCCATGAAACTAGAACCACATGGGCCCCACATACTGTTGCCCAGTACTATCCCATTCCAAGATAGCCCACTTAAAAAAGGACTGGGGCCCACATATCCACACCCAGGTCTAACCCATATATGGTCAGCCCATGCTGATGTCATGTGGGTTCAATGTGGTCAGCCCACATGGGCTTCCCATGTTGGGCCCATGATACTAGAACCACATGGGCCCCACATACTGTTGCCCAGTACTATCCCATTCCCAGATAGCCCACTTAAAAAAGGACTGGGGCCTACATATCCACACCCAGGTCTAACCCATATATGGTCAGCCCATGCTGATGTCATGTGGGTTCAATGTGGTCAGCCCACATGGGCTTCCCATGTTGGGCCCATGATACTGAAACCACATGGGCCCCATATACTGTTGCCCAGTACTATCCCATTCCCAGATAGCCCACTTAAAAAAGGACTGGGGCCCACATATCCACACCCAGGTCTAACCCATATATGGTCAGCCCATGCTGATGTCATGTGGGTTCAATGTGGTCAGCCCACATGGGCTTCCCATGTTGGGCCCATGAACTAGAACCACATGGGCCCCATATACTGTTGCCCAGTACTATCCCATTCCCAGATAGCCCACTTAAAAAAGGACTGGGGGCCCACATATCCACACCCAGGTCTAACCCATATATGGTCAGCCCATGCTGATGTCATGTGGGTTCAATGTGGTCTGCCCATGGGCTTCCCATGTTGGGCTCATGATACTGAAACCACATGGGCCCCATATACTGTTGCCCAGTACTATCCCATTCCCAGATAGCCCACTTAAAAAAGGACTGGGGCCCACATATCCACACCCAGGTCTAACCCATATATGGTCAGCCCATGCTGATGTCAGGTGGGTTCAATGTGGTCAGCCCACATGGGCTTCCCATGTTGGGCCCATGATACTGAAACCACATGGGCCCCATATAGTGTTGCCCAGTACTATCCCATTCCCAGATAGCCCACCTAGTTGCTGAATAGGGCCCATGCATTTAGCCCATATGGGCCAGCCCATATGGGTCTCATTTTAGGTTAACCATATGTGTCCCATGCAGTTCGCCCATAAAACCCATGCCCACTCATTACCCATGTAGCCCACATCAAACACAAGTGGGGCCCACTCATGCGTGCTGGCTGGGAGGTACCTTTATAATAATGAATTATGTTTAAATGCGCCTCACGTTACGAAAAGCTTCCCTCCACAAATCGTTTTGTAAACATTCCATTGCCAAGAAGCATGAAGACAAACCTTTATCTTGTTTTTTATTCCTCGTCTTTCTTTTTTCTCTCCTGGAAGGATAAGTCCTTTTTGGCGACACTGTTTTGATGACTTATCCTCATCCGGTGCTCTGGAGGTTTGGATGCGCACTGCAGCTCATATTGCCGGTGAAGGGTGTGCGGCTGCTGGGGGCCCCAAGAGCAGTTTTTTTTCTTTTTGTCCATATAAGAAAGATTTCCACATACATTATAAAATGTATGGCAAAAAAATCATAATTTTATATTGAAATTGTGTGTTTTTGTTAATATAATCATGTAAAAATCATAACTAAAAGAAAAACAAATCAGTCCCTCCTCGCGGTCGTGGGGCCCAAAGAGGCGGCTCAGGCCCCGGCCCTTGGGATGGTCTTGATCACCTGTTTGAGGCTTCATCAATTTTGCTTGTACAAATGACAAAGTCTTCTGAAGAGAAATGTTGAGGGCACAATAGTACATCATTTGGAAGTTGTGTTTGGCTCTGGCTCTCTCACTGCACTCTTCTTTTTTCAAAATGGGAAGCGATCCAGACTCACCTCACTGTTTTTATACATTACAGCCAACAGTAATAGGATGTGGCATTATGTAAAATTACACCAGTCAAACACAATATGAGAAAAAACTACTCAGGTAAAGTTAGCCTTCCATTACTTTGTAGATCCCAGTACAGAATGAACCAAACTGCATCATCAACCAATCAGGTGAAAAATGACCACTCCATGGTGGAGAATATAACAAAAGATTTACATTTTTGAAAGTATTTATGAGTTTTGGCGTATCACAAACAGCAACAAGTCTGCCTGACTGGAATAGAGACGACATTTGATGCAGACAGGAGAATTGTGGTGGAAGGAAAAAAAGGGGGAAAACACTGCATGACTACAAGACGAGGTCAACATCTCCTGCAAGGATTGGCCTAACGCAGCACCCAACCGAGGAACAACACGAATTTTATCAAGTCTCACCACAGACACAGAGCCACTTGCTGGTCTGGGTGTTGAGATGGAAACGCACACACTGCTCATAATCTTTGTTCCCAAAAATATATAATTCTCACTGCATGCTCATCACAAGCCACTGACAGCGCCACGATAGGTTACATTTGTGGTTCACATTGAGCTTGCACAAGCAGATCTGACACGGTGGCTTTTAGGAGACTGAAAGGGGAAGAAGTGTGACTTCTTCCCCCACATACAGCACACAGCGGAGACCAGTTGGGTGAATTTCTGTAATGAGTGTAAATAACAAGAAACACAGTGAGCCTCCCTACTGGTCCACATTGGGTACTGCAACAAAACTCCACGTTAGTCTCAGAGCACAACCTCCACTACTGTTCAGAAAGTAACCGGATTTGATGACCTACCACAGTAGAGTTCCCAACAGACTGTATGGAATCTGCAGTCCCTCCTCCTTTTATAGGCAACCAGTAGGGGGCGCCAAAAAACACTCACCACAGGACAACCATGAAACCCATACTAGCAGAATTTTAACCGAACCATTTCAACTGTTACACTAGGGGCGACCGAGGTGGACCGAGGCGCTAGAGGCGACCCACGCGCTAGGTGACCAACGAGCTACCCATAGCCTAACTAACTAACTAATGTCAATATCAGCACAGATGGAATATTTCTCAGTATCCCCTTTGAATCTGACCCTATTTACTGAGAAACTGTAATGTGTTAATTTATTTTTCAGTAACTGTCCTAGAGCTAGGGGTGTAAATTAGCACCCAAATGCGGGTAAAAGTATGAAGTGGCGTGTAAAGTGGAGCAACGTATCGCCACTGTGGCTGGTTTACAATTTGAAGAGGAAAAAAGTTGCAATGAGTTTGAACTTCTGTCCAGGGAGGACTGACCGTCTGGAGTCCAGACTGATGAATTATAATGTCCATATCTGGCCCCGCGCTGTCATAATTTAACCAAAAAATTATATTAACAATTTTTATATATCGCGACAGCCCATTGGTTGATTTTATTGACAGACATTGGGCTTGTCCAATGAAATCCCTCAGTCCCCCTTGGCCCCTCCCCTCCCCTTGGAGGTTATAAATAGAGCCAGTTTAGCTGCTAACGGGAGTCCGAGAAAATGAGCGGATAGGAGTCGGAGCGGATCAGAAAAACTACGACAAAAGCTAAAAAGCGCATCAGCACATTCAGAAAAACGTGTCCAATTAACCGATATGCTTATTACCAAACTAACTTTGACCGCTGGAAGAGATTCAGTGGTGGACAAGGAGAGGAAAGTAGCGAGTCAGGGGCTTTATTATCTTTGGAGGAGGATGAGAGAGACCACCAGGGACAGATTGAGGAAGAGTTCAGGTTAGCTGCTGCTGCTGGGAAGAAGGAGGGAAAATGTTCATAAAGAAAAAGTTTCATGCAGGCAGGAAGAAAGTTGTGTGTGTGTGTGTGTGTGTGTGTGTGTGTGTGTGTGTGTGTGTGTGTGTGTGTGTGTGTGTGTGTGTATGTGTGTGTGTGAGGGGTAAGCTAACAGTTTAGGCTAACTGTTAGCTTAACCTAACTGTTAGGGTTAGGGTTAGCTCCAGGTTAAGCTAACAGTTAGCTCCAGGTTAAGCTAACAGTTAGCTCCAGGTTAAGCTAACAGTTAGCTCCAGGTTAAGCTAACAGTTAGCTCCAGGTTAAGCTAACAGTTAGCTCCAGGTTAAGCTAACAGTTAGCTCCAGGTTAAGCTAACAGTTAGCTCCAGGTAGTCAGAAAAACAAGAATGATGATGATGATGATGGCCGTGGATTAATAATGAACACATTCTGAGATATTTTAGTAATAATTGTTCATTTCTGTAGAAAAAGTAATAAGGGAAAACAAATAAAACAGAAAACAGCTATTGATACAATTTAAAGATATTTTAAAAATGACTGGACATCTTTAATAAATAGTATCAGGGAGAGTTGATGCCAAAATGTGTTCAATATATGATGCAACAATGTTCGGGTTGTCTAGTTAAAGTTTGTTAATAATTACTTCAGGTGAACTTATTCCACTACAACCATGTTAAGTTGTCCAGGCTTTATGTTAAATTAACCTCGATATGTACATCTGTATGTCACTAACTTGGTTTTCATAGAGTTAAAAATAAATCATATATTTTATATAATTTGCTTGTATTTGTGGGGTTTGTAATTGAAAGGAAAAAAAAATCCGGCTGGTAAAAAATGTTTTCTACCAGGAACTGAGGCTGGTGGAGAACATTTCTAATTTCCACCCTGCCTAGCACTGTACATAGAACCCGTCACACCCAGCAGGTTCTGGTTGTTTCAGGTTCTCCAGCTTCTCATGTTTAATTTTCCGAACTTCTCCCTTCCTTCCTGTCTCGGCGCCAGACCTTAACTACTGCACCAACCACCGGCCGTGCCAGAACCAGGCGTCCTGCACCAACACCGGCCAGGGCAGCTACACCTGCAGCTGCCGGCCCGGATTCTCTGGAGTCAACTGTGAGATCGAGACCAACGAGTGCGACAGCACCCCCTGCAGGAACGGAGGGAGCTGCACGGTATGTCACCAGAACCACTGAACCACATCAGAACCACCATAGAACCACACCAGAACCACCATAGAACCACACCAGAACCAACATAGAACCACACCACAACCAACATAGAACCAACCAGAACCACCATAGAACCACACCAGAACCAACATAGAACCACACCAGAATCAACATAGAACCACACCAGAACCAACATAGAACCACACCACAACCAACATAGAACCACACCAGAATCAACATAGAACCACACCAGAACCAACATAGAACCACACCAGAACCAACATAGAACCACACCACAACCAACATAGAACCACACCAGAACCACCATAGAACCACACCAGAACCAACATAGAACCACACCACAACCAACATAGAACCACACCAGAACCAACATAGAACCACACCAGAACCAACATAGAACCACACACAACCAACATAGAACCACACCAGAATCAACATAGAACCACACCAGAACCAACATAGAACCACACCAGAACCAACATAGAACCACACCACAACCAACATAGAACCACACCAGAACCAACATAGAACCACACCAGAACCAACATAGAACCACACCACAACCAACATAGAACCACACCAGAACCAACATAGAACCACACCACAACCAACATAGAACCACACCAGAACCAACATAGAACCACACCAGAACCAACATAGAACCACACCACAACCAACATAGAACCACACCAGAACCAACATAGAACCGAACCACCATAGAACCACACCAGAACCACCATAAAACCACACCAGAACCAACATAGAACCGAACCACCATAGAACCACACCAGAACCACCATAAAACCACACCAGAACCAACATAGAACCGAACCACCATAGAACCACACCAGAACCACCATAAAACCACACCAGAACCAACATAGAACCACACCAGAACCAACATAGAACCACACCAGAACCAACATAGAACCGAAACAGAACAACATAGAACCACACCAGAACCAACATAGAACCACACCAGAACCAACATAGAACCACACCAGAACCTGTCATGGAAAAAAAACAAAGATTTTTCAAGCTCTGTTCAGGTAAAATCACTCAATCAGGTTTATTCATGAATTGTGCACCATGCAGAGAGCTGATAAGATGATCAATAATCCAGCCAGTCTGGATGTAAAGCATGAGTTTTATACAAAGATAAAGGATCCAAAGCATGAGAAACGGTCTGGTTCTGATGCAGCTGTGGGAAACAACTCCCAGCCTTGAACATGTAGCCCAGACAGCTTGAACATGTGGGATCATAGAAGAACCTAAGAACCTAGAATAAACACACAGAACAAAATGACCAGCAGATGTGACCTTACTGTAATTTTTCAACCACATTTCCCCCCTTTTGATTATAAACACATATGATAATATTTAATATTAATCAACATTTCCCTCCTCGGTCAAAAGATATAACAGCACATTATCTTGGGAAACGTAACAAAAGAAGGATGTATACACAAGATATAAAAAACCTACCAGCAGTAACCTTGTCTACCCCATAACAATATCACTGTGAGAGGTAGGAAAAGTTATCCTGCAAGCCCTCAGTCCTCTATATGTTTGTCCAGGAAAAGCATGGAGGTATCATACTAATGAGTGAAGACACAAAAAACCCAATAAACAATAATAAAAAGTAATGGCTAATCAAGGAAAAAAAAAACTATTAAAAAAAACAGATAAAAAGAAAAACAAAAATGGAAAAATCAGTAACAAAAGATAATAATGAAAAAAACTGGAAAAAAGTAACATATTTCCAAATGAAACAAAATGATAAATCAAACCATAAAATGCAGAACATGAAGAAAGTACAGGCACCCGTTTTTGGGAAACAGACATTTCTGTAATTGGCAAAGCAGTATAGGAAAGCTAAGCTATAATACCAGCCCGAAAATATTAATGATTAACACTACCTGAAGTCAAAACACATTACACATTGTCCACATCATCACTGTAGGACAAAAGTCCAAGTCATCAGACTAAAAATATCCAATGCAATGTCTGTACTTGGAACAAGATGGAGGTGTGAACACTGTCATGATGAATTCTCCTGTCTTTTCCCTTTTTTCTCTCTCAGGAACTCTTAATATTTATTTTAACTTTCATTCCCCACTTTGTCCACTCGCCAGTGGACCAGCAATAGTGTTTTGGTTGGGGAGCCTTTTGACAGACAAAAGCAACTAATGTTTGTTGTTATGTTCATCTCTTCTGTATTCCCTTGTTGCATCTCTTCCCTCTTCCTGAATGTTGGGTGTCAGCGGGTACTTGCCTCTGACACTTAACACCAATTGTTATGAAGGTATTTCAGTGATCCAGGAATTTAAACATGGCTATCTGCAGTGTCAGAGGTTACTACCACTTAACACCAGCAGCAGTAAGGTAATCCATCCTCATTCAGAAAGTTTCGCCTTGTCCTCCTTTGTCTGTTGTTCTGTCGACTGCTGGACAACCTCCTTCCCACCGGGATGGGTGTCACCTTGAGGCTCTGGTACAGTGGCTGGCATGAATTCATGCCCTCTCTGCAACATTAGCAGCTGTAGGTGTTGAGCAGTACTTGAAATGGTCCCCGCCAGCATTTGGAGTCCAATGCATCCTCCAGAAGTCTTTCACCACGACCCAATCACCTGGTTTAATGGTATGGAGTGGCATCTCGGCAGGCTGTGGCAATGCGTCTTTCACTGTCTGAAAAACTTGAGAAAGCATAATTAACAAGTTTTGACAGTAAGACAACATTGCATCATGACAGACAGAAGTGGAAGGAAGGACCTTTCTCTAAGGCCCTAAACCCAAGTTAGGAGGCCGGTCAAAAAGGATTTCAAATGGACTGAAGTTAATCCTGGCTCTTTTCTGCATCCTCATATAAGTTAGAAGAATTGGTAGGGCTTTAACCCATGACAGGCCTGTTTCCTCACAGCATTCAGCTAGTTTGGTCTTCAAAATGCCATGAACACGTTCTACTGCGCTCTGTGGGTGATATCCGCAGTGAGTTTTTAAAGTCGTACGCATGAAGATGCCTCAGAAAGGCAACTGTGGCTTTTTCATTGCTCTTTAGTTGGACTGCATAACAGAAGGTCATCAACATACTGAATAAGAGCAGAACCAGGGAGAAGCTGGAGCTAGCCTTCAGTGCAGCATTATAGATAGTGGGGTGGTCACAAAAGCCTTGACACAACTGGGTAAAAGTCCATTTAATCAGACCGACATATTTGCTTTTAGCCCAAAAATCATCAGGAACTTTAGATAGTGCTGTTGGTAATGGAGCCGGCTCTGTTTGAGATAAAAAGCATGCGTCAAAATTTGGGTCTGTGGTAGGAATCAATTCCACAAGTTTTTTGTACAAGGATACAACTTGAATGCTGACATTCGCTCAGAAAACATTACATTTGGGTCAGCAAGTGAAATGATCGATCAGTTTAATTTTTACATGCAGGAATAAATGTCCCTACATCACTCCATTGTAGTTTTTGTGATTTTGCCAAAGGAATGTGAGGGTAAGAGTCAGGAACACTAAAAATTGTCTCTGCTCAGCTGAGAGACTGCCAAACCTGCTGTATGTGTGTGTGTCCAAAACAAAGCAGATGTTGGCAGTTCTCAGAAGGGGCACAGAACCATCATGTCTCATAATCACAATCAGCTCCCAAGGAAACATTTGAAATGCAGTTTAATTCATCATGCTGTTCAACATCATAAAAAGGAGAGATTAAAGTTTTCACTTCTGCAAGACGTTGTGAAAGAGTAGAATTTGGAAGCTTCCATTTATATACATAGTTAAGAGCAGATGAGTGAAATTGCACAGCTGTGTGAGTCCAATCAGAATGTGATACAACTTTTACACCCTCCGGTGTTGAGATAAGATCTATTCCTAATTGGCACATTAGGAATATAAGATTTACTGGGCAGAAATCTGACAACAGAAATGAATGTTTGAAAGAGAATGCTTGGGGAGTTTTACATGCAATAGTGGTTGTAATTTTCCCCTTTACTACCTGACTGGAGGCAGACACAGAATAGACATAGTTACCACTGAGGTTTGGTGGAATATTAAATTAGTTTTTTCTCACAATTGGAGATGTTGTTCCGGAGTCAACCATAAAGGAGACTTTTTTTCTTTCTGAAAGTCTAATCAAAAGTAGGGAAGACGTATGCATCAGATGCAAAATGAGCACAAGTTTGTTTTTTTTTCAATCCACATTTCTCTTCTAAATCAGAAATTACATTTAAAATTTTATCAAGTGTGTCACTGTCAGCAACCAGCTCTTCTTAGCCAGAAACAGGAAAAACAGGAGACTCATTCAAATCCTCACACTCAACAAGCAGCTCTACTTTGCAAAGAGCAGAAACATTGTCATTCACACAATTTACTTGTATAGGTGTGTGTGTGCGGTTGAATGCACTTCCTGAACCGATCCGTCCTCGCACACCCCTTCTAGTCAATCTGCCATGTTCCTGTAATTTCTGTGAATGACCAACGCCGCTGATATTTGCCACAATTGTGACAAATGTCAGCATCTTTGTTGTGAGGAGTGTAGCCTCCTCTGCCTTGGCCTTTGGGTTGTCCTCGTCCAGTGGGTTGTCCTCTTCCTCTCCTCGATTGATCATACTACATTGTAACAGTAGCCAGATGAAGTTCTTTCTCCACCTTATCCTTTTGCTCTCTGGTGCGGTTATTTACTTGCTGCTGTGTATGTCTGCCATAACGTCTTACATCTTCTAAACGGGATTGCTCAGCCCAGCCCACATAGCTGTTTCAGTTCCTTTGAGATGTCTTGGAGTAATCCTTTAATAATGGGATAACAGGTTATGCTTTCCCAAGGGCCAGGTGGAGCTTGATCGTTGAAGGTGTTTGGTCTGGCATGACCTCTGTATGTTGTAACAGTTTTCATAAGGTGATGAATCACGTCATCCGTTCTCTCATCTGGTTGTTGTTTGCATGTTTAGATGGAGGTCATGTTTATTTGGACTGGAATGTAATCTTT